TGCCTTGACCCCCCCGCCCCCCCCTGGGTTTAAAAAAAAAAAAAAAAAAACCACAATCTGAATAGTTTGTAAACATTGCAACTTATTTCTCACAGTTCTGGAGACTGGGAAGTCCAAGATGAAGATAGATTTATTTGTTAAGTGAGTGTCTACTTCCTCTTAGACAGATGTATTCTCACACTAACCTCACATGGAAGAAGGGGCACAGGATCTTTCTTAGGACTTTTCATAAGGGCAATAATCTCATTCATAACTTTATGACCTAATCATGTCCCAAAGACCCCATTTCTAATACCATTTCTTGGAAGTTAAGGTGTTTGTTTTTGTCAGAGGGTATGGACACTCACTAGAAAGAGACAGAGAGAGGAAAAGGGAGAAAGCAACTCCAGTAGGGTGTGGTCATGCTGCAATTCCATTTTGTCCATTTCTCCATCCTGTCAGGATTCTGAGCACACACATACACTCGCCAGCCTGATTTTCAAGCTGCCAGGGCTATGTTCAATCCCATGGTTTGCCATGTTGGATCTAGCTCCCTTAACTACTAGGCCACAGACTGGCTTTTTTCCTTTTTTTTTTTTTTTTTGAGAGGTTTTTGCTATAGGGCACATGTGCTCGCCAGAGAGACAAAGAGACAGAAAACGAGAAATCACCCCCCTGGGGGATTACCACGCTGTAATCCCTTCTCCTCCATTCTCTTCTTGGTATCTTGGGCATGCATGCACATGCACCTGGCGTGAGTTTAAACCACCAGGTCCGGGACTTGAAACATGGTCGACTACATGGGAGTCCAGTGACATAGCCATTATGCTAACTGCTGGTCCCAGACTAGCTCTTTTTTTATTTTTTTGGGGGGGAGGAGGTTTGTCTTAGGGCATGTGCTCTCTCCCGAGAGAGATAGTGAGAGGAAAAATGAGAAATCACTCCCCAAAGAGATGGCCATGCTGCAATCCCTTCTTCTCCATTCTTCTCCTGGAATCTTGGGCACGCATACACACATGCCTGGTGTGAGTTTCAAGCCACCGGGTCTAGGACTTAAACCTTAGTTAACCATGTGGAAGTCCAAAGACATAACTGCTATGCCATCTGCTGGCCCAAACTCGCCCATTTTATTTATTTATTTTTATAGAGAGATTTTTGCTATAGGGTATGTACACTTGCCAGAAAGACAAGAGAGAGACAGAGAGACAGAAAGCGAGAAATCACCTCCCCAGGGGGGATGGCCGCACTGCAATTCTTTCTTCTCCATTCTCCTCTTGAGATTTTGAGCAGGTATGCACACATGCACAGTGTTTTTGTTTTTGTTTTTTTAATAATTATTTTATTTAACTTTATTTATTTATTTGACCAAAGAGGAACAGAGTCGGGGAGGGAGGGAGAGAGAGAGAAAGCAGCCAGGTCTGGGACTCGAATCACAGTCAGCCATGTGGAAGTCCAGCACCTTTAACCACCACGCCACCTTCGGGCTCCCCCAGCATGAGTTTTAAGCCTCTGGGTCCAGAACTCTTACCAGGGTCAACTACATGGGAGCCCAGCAACAAAACCATTACACCATCTGCTGGTCCCCAGACTGGCCCATTTTAAACTATAGGATATTCCATTTCTTTCTTCCCTTCTCTTTTGGGGGAAGGAGATTAAAGTTCAATATTTGAATTTTGAGGGGCACATTTATTTGGACAATACCAGATTCCATTAAGCATTCTAATGTACAATTAATGAAAGTCTCAGAAGAAGCGGAAAGAGAGGGAATCATACATGTTTGAAGAGATAATGGTCAAATCATCTCAAATCTGATGAAAAAAATTAATCTACATGTTCAGAAAGCTCATTAACAGGCTAGCAGGTGATGTGGTGGTTAGAATGCTAGAGTCTTACATGGCCAACCACAATTCAAGTCCCAGACACTGAGGCTTCAAAATCACGCTAGACGTGTGTGTGCATGTGCCCAAAATCCTGAGAGGAGAATGGAGAAGGGATTGTAGTATGACCATTCCCTACCCCCCTCCCAGTGGGGAGAGGGATTTCTCACTTTCCTGCTCTCTGGCAAGTGCATGTGCCTTAATGGTAAAAACCTTTTAAAAAAAAATAAAAATAGGGAACCAGCAGTTAGCGTAATGGCTATGTCGCTGGACTCCCACGTAGTCGACCGCGGTTCGCGTCCCCAACCCGGTGGCTTAAAACTCACGCCGGGCGCATGTGCGTGCGTGCCCAAGATCCCGAGAGGAGAATGGAGGAGAAGGGATTGCGGCGTGACCATCCCCCCTGGGGGGTGATTTCTCGCTTTCTGTCTCTATGTCTCTCTCTGTCTGTCTGGAGAGCGCACGCGCCCTACAGTGAAAATCTCTCCAAAAAAAAATAAATAAATAAAATAAAAATAAATAAAAGCCTATACATCTTAGTGCAACTGTTGAAAGCCAGACAAAAACAACATCTTTAAAGCAGAAAGACAAAAAAGATTTCTTATGATCAAAGGACATCATCAAGTTCAAGGAACACAGTAAATTTAACAGCTTGCTTCTTAATGGAAACTGTGGAAGGCAGAAGACAGTAAGAGGACAAATAAAGTGCTGAAAGAAAAGATTATCATTATTATTATTTTAAAGATTTTTGCTATAGAGCATGTGCACTCTCTGAGAGACAGAGGAAGACAGAAAATGAGAATTCACCCCCAAGGGGGCATGACCATGCCACAATCTTTTCTTCTCCATTCTCCTCTTGGAAGTTTGGGCATGCATGCACACACGCCCAGTGAGTTTTTTGTTTTGTTTTGTTTTGTTTGTTTGTTTGTTTTGAGAGGTTTTTTTTGGCTATAGGGCGCATGCACTTGCCAGAGAGACAAAAAGTGAGAAATTGGCCGTGCTGCAATCAATACCTTCTCCTTCATTCTCCTCTCAGGATCCTGGGCACACACACACACATGCGCCCAGCGTGAGTTTAAGCCACCAGGCCCGAGATTCGAACTGCGGTTGACTACATGGGAGTTCAGCAACATAGCCATTATAGCCATTACGCCATTACGCTAACTGCTGGTCCCAGACCCAGTGAGTTTTAAGCCACTGGGTCCAGGACTTGAACCACAGTTGACTATGTAGGAGACCAGCAATGTAACCATTATGCCATCTGCTGGTCCCAAAAGAAAAGATTATTAGCCTAGAATCTTATATTTGGCTAAATTATTCTTCAAATAACAAAGGTGAAAAATTAGATATACATACCACCTAACCCCAGTCAGAATGGTGAAGATTAAAAAAAAAGGTAAGTGCTGGAGGGGATGCGGTGAAAGGCGAACAGTCCTACACTGTTGGTGGGCATGTAAATTGGTCCAGTGTGGAGAACAATATGGAGGCTCCTCAAAAACCTTCACATAGAACTACCTTATGATCCAGCAATTCCACTCCTGGGTATCTACCCAAAGGACAGGAGAACGCTCAGTCAGAAAAGCACTTGCACATCTATATTCATTGCAGTCTTATTCATGATTGCTAAGACATGGAACCAATCCAAATGTCCACAAACAGATGAATGGTTTGAAAAAGTATGGCACATACTCTCCATGGAATACTATTCAGCTGTAAAAACAAAAACAAAAACAAAGCCCTGGAATTTGATAGAAAGTGGACGAATATGGAAGATTTGTTGCTGAGTGAAACAAGTCAGGCTAGGAAAGAGAGATATTAGCAGGGCCTCGCTTCCAAGATGACCAAGAAAAGAAGGAACAACCGCCGTGCCAAAAAGGGCCACGGCCATGTGCAGCCTATTCACTGCATGACTGCCCTCATGCATGCCCAAGGACAAGACTATTATGAAGTTCGTCACCTGAAACATACTAGAGGCCGCAGCTGTCAGGGACATCTCTGAAGCAAGTGTCTTCGATGCCTATGTGCTCCCCAAACTGTATGTGAAGCTACATTACTGTGTGAGTTGTGCCATTCATAGCAAGGCAGTCAGGAACCGATCTCGTGAAGCTCAGAAAGACCAAACACCCCCACCTTGATTTAGACCTACAGGTGCTGCCCTTTGCCTTCCACCAAAGCCCATGTAAGGAGCCGAGTCTTTAAGGACTGAAGAACTGTCTGTCCTCTGGGAAAAATAAAACGCCGATTATATATTTTAAAAAAAGAAAGACAAAGGAAGAAAGAAAGAAAGAGAGAGAGACATTATATGTCTCCACTTAACATATACCGACTGTCTGCACTCTATGGCAGAGACTGAAAGACTAGAGGACATACAAGCATTAAAAATTGTTATGGACACTAGAACCAAAGTGCAAAGAGTGTGGGAGGGGAAGAGCATAGGAAAGGAAATTTGGAAGAAAAAAATAGAGGAAAAAGATAGAGAGGTAAGACATTTGTGGGACACAGATATGGTTTATTATTTGTTGATGAGGACATGCATAGTATTCTCAACTAGGCAGGACTGAAGTGTATAACATGCTGGGTAAAGTCTCTTTACAATCTAAATGATCTATAGCGATTAAATGTATAAATAATAATTAAAATTCATTAAAAATGAGATATACAGATTGCAAATAAGAATATGAAAAGGTGCTCTACGTGATCTTTTATAAAGGAAATGCAAATTACAAGATACAATAAGATCAATTAGTATGTTTAGGACTGAAGTGTATAACATGCTGGGTAAAGTCTCTTTACAATCTAAATGATCTATAGCGATTAAATGTATAAATAATAATTAAAATTCATTAAAAATGAGATATACAGATTGCAAATAAGAATATGAAAAGGTGCTCTACGTGATCTTTTATAAAGGAAATGCAAATTACAAGATACAATAAGATCAATTAGTATGTTTATATAATATTCTATATAATTAGTTGTCTGAGTTATCTGTCAATTAGAATAGCTA